TTTCGTTGCGATTCCTTTGATTTCTTGAAAAGAGTGTCCGTTTGATGAAAACTGTCCAAAAGACCAGAAGTACCAAAGTTTTGAGTCGGACTAAAAGAAAAGGTTATATTAATGATAATAAATATCATTGCAAATAAAGTGTGTTATACTGGGAGTGATGGTAATCATGAAATTGAGGTGAGAATGTGAGGGGCAGATGAAAGCCTGAGTGGGTGTGCACTGAGTATAAGGTGGACATCGCTAGAAAAAACCATAAGAAGGCCAGATGTGAACTCAATAGCTGTGGACCTATATTTGAATACAAATCATTTATAGTCTATTAAAAGGGTTGAGTATTAGAAATGAAACCTAAAAGAATGGGTGCAATATTGGAGATTAGGTGTTCAAATGGATGGCAATCAATGGATGCCATAGCCGTGGGAACTGACCACTTGTGATGCTTAGAGTGAATATATTTATAAATTTTGTTGAAATGCAATAACCTGTGGGTGTAGTAAAAGCCAATCTCTTGAATAGCCGCACAAAACAAGAATTGCAATAAAAGTCGCCAGTAATTGATTTGACAGCTCTTGTATTCGTGTCTTAATAGCGTTGAATACGCCAAGAAGTAAAACCCCAAATATATGACCAATTGGTTGACTAAAACAGATTTCACGGTTCTGTAAATGTCTTTAGAGGTGATCTATATATTGAAGAATAAAGTATAAAATCATAGAATATTGACAAACGATGTCATACTTGAGATGTTTTGTCGATTTTATATTTGTAGATAAAAGAGGGCCACCGATAGACATCGATTACTGTATATATGGAACTAGGGATCCAATAAACACTGAATGTCCAAATGAATGTACCATGGTGCTGAATGTTTATGTTGTACTTGATGAACAATTCTGTCATTGAATCCCAAACTCCATACATGTATTCCATGAATATATTCCACAAACTATAAGAAATTTAATTCAAATAAGAATTAAATTCTAATCATTACGTGAAGACAGAATTTTAATGAAAACCAAAATGTTTATTAAAATCAATTGATTAATCACTTAATTATGCTTTGATAGTTTGTTTACCAGATAATTATAAACAAAACAATGAGAACCACTGAAACAAATCCTCGATCCCACACAAATTCAATCATTATTTAAATAAAAAAATAATATTACAACTCAAAAATGCTTTCAAATGCACAATGAATGAAATATGTTTAAACTTAATATTTTAAAACTTTCTTGTTATTAAAAATAAGTTAATTAAATGGAATTTCACTTCACTCATTAGTATGCTAAATTTATTTAAAACAAAACAATTAAACCTTGTACAGTACTAAGCATATATATATATATATATTGTATTTAAAAACAATTTACTGTACTAACTCCCTAATCACGAATATAAAATGTAAATCTGTTTAAATATTTATACAGTATGTAATGTTCTTGAATTTATTACTATCGTAATAAGTAATTAACTAAAAGACAAACAACGGAAATGTTTTTAATTAAACACTTCTTGCGATGGTTTTAGAGTCAAAAGCCATTTATGTCTCCGACTTTCCTTTGACTTCATAAATAGTTTGTCCGTCTTATGAATTCTGTCCATAATTCCCAAAACACCATAGTTTTGATTAACACTAAATGAATTTAAAACAAATAAAACTTAATTAATAGCTAATTTCCGAGAGTGATTGTTATACTGTGAGTGATGGTAGTTATGAAATTGAGGGGACAGTCCAAGGGGTAAATGAAAGCCCGAATGAGTGTGCAATGAAGTGATGGTCGCGATTGCTATCCACACCCATAGGAAGGCCAGGTGTGAATTCAGAAGCATTGGACCTATAATTAGAATGAATTTTATACTAAAAGTATACTAATTTTAAATAATCAAACCTAAATAAATTGGCAAAACATTAGATAAAAAGTGTTCAATTGGATGACAATAAGCAGCAGCAATAGCTGTGGGTATTGTCCACTTGTGGTGCTTATAATGTATGGTTTTATATAGTTTTTTCATATGCAATAACCGGTGGCTGTAATAAAAGCCCAACTCTTCAATTGTGGCACAAATCAAAAGATGTGTTAAAATACGCCAATAATTGAGTTTAAAGTCTTGTCTCTCTATCTTATATTCATGTCTCGATATAATTGGATATGAAATGAATGAAAGACACATTTGTATTAATAGTTGATTCAACAAAACATTTTTCGATGTTTCATAGATGTCTTTGGAAGTCACCTAAAATTGAATTATTTAGGTATACATAAAAAGTTTATATGTTTTATTTGAATTAAAAACAAAATTATTTACTTGATATGATTTATCAATTTTGTATTTATAAATAAATGCCGGCCCTCTGAATAAATCCATTAGTGTATAACTAAAGCCAACTGTCCAGTAAATAATGAAAGACCAGATAA